CATCTTTATTTCCCAACGGAAATATGTACTAGATCTACTAGAAGATACAGGCAAGTTGGGGGTAAAACCAATTGACTCACCAATTGAATCTAATCATCAGCTGGGAGACAGTTAGGGAGAGTTTTTGAAAGATGTGAAGAAGTTCTAGAGACTCGTAGGGAGACTCTTGCATTTGTCTATGACCAGGCTTGATCTTGCTTATGCAATGGGTGTCCTTAGTCAGTTCATGCACAATCCTAGGGCAACTCACTTTGAAGCTGCAGAGAGGATCCTTAGATACCTCAAGAAGTTTCCCGGAGCTAGTTTGTTGTTCCAAAAACATTGACACTTAAAAGTGGAAGTATATACTGATGCTGATTGGGCAGGAACAGTTGATGACCGTAAATCTACCAATGGGTGTTGTGCCTTTGTAGGAGGAAACCCGGTCACATGGAGAAGTAAAAAACAAAGTGTGGTGGCTAGATCTAGTGCTAAAGCAGAATATAGAGCGATGTCTCATGAGGTTGCTGAAATCATGTGGATAAGAAATCTGTTAGGTGAATTGGGTTTTGCAATGAGAAACCCTATGTCACTCTACTGTGACAATAAAGCTGCCATCAATATTGCTGCTAATCTAGTCCTGCGTGATAGGACGAAACACATTGAAGTGAACAAGCATTTTATTAGAGAGAAACTTGTAAATGGAGAAGTGTGTACTCCATATGTCAGCTTAGAAGAACAACTTGCAGATATCTTCACCAAAGGTCTTCATCATGTGCAGCACAATGATTTGTGTAACAAGTTGGGCATGATTGACACCTATGCTCCAACTTGAGGGGGAGTGTTGAAATAATTTAGTTATTTGTGTTAGGGTCTGTTTGGCTAGTTAAAGCCTTTTTTTATTTTATGTTATTGTACTCACTTACAGCAGGGGCACAAGAGTCTTTTCCCTTCTTATTTCTGCCGCCCTATATAATATAATAGAAGCTGGCACCGCCAGTACTGCTCCATTGCTCCAAACCTTTTCTTCTTCCTTTCTTCTTCTCTTCTCTTCTTCCCTTCTCTTCTCTACTTCCTCATATTTCAATCGGATTTATTGCCAAGACCTTTCATTCCTTCTTATCAAAGTAAAATTCTCCAAGCAAATAAATCTAAATCAAAATGCAGTTGTTTAGAACTCTACAGAACTGAAACAATATCCCTTTGTCAAAATTAATATGGAAATTCACACACTAACAAAACTGTGTAGAACAAACAAGCAAAGAACGTCCACAAAGAATAACCAAAAATTTACTTTTCCTTATTGAACCATCAGTTCTTTAGCATAATCACAAGTACCTTTAATATGGAATGTTTATGCACAACTGAGATGCTACATAAATGAGTCTAGAAAATATATTACATGTTTTAAACCTAAAGTAAGATTGGATAACTCACCAGTGTCTCAAAAAACATCCTTGATGCTTCCTTTCGTGTTTTACCAGCCAATAGGTTATCCATTGAAAGTTCCCTTCTTCCATGTCCAGCTTCATTATCAAACAAGGTTTGGAGGTACCTTGCAACAGCTCTTCAAGAAACAGAAATCCAAGAAGACAAGATTCAGAAACATATCATGAATTATGAGATGAACAACTAAGAAATCAAATGAGTAATTACAACAGATAAAATATAAAAGATAAAGAAATAACTAAAGAAGCTTTTTCCCCAAAAACAAGGGAAATAACAAAAAGATAATAATTTTTTCACTTGGACAGAAGAGAAAGAAGTCATCAACGAAATCTGCCATAAATTTGGCAACTGCAGATCTACATCAGGACCAACCAACTTGATGGGCAAACCTAGCTTATACTGTCAATCTATTTTTATTTATTTCATTAAAAGATAGAAACAGACTACTGTATGATGAATTACATGGATAAATGTTTCATCTCCTGTATACTCTTGGGTGGTTTGAGGCTATATTTAGCTTGTGTATAAATTTAGAAAAGAGAAAGCTAATGTGAATAAGCTACCTCTCTGCTTCAGGTACAACAAGGTTACTCTTCCAAACAGATATTCAACCCTACCCCTAGGAGCCAACTGTAATTCTAAGGTCATTTGGGACCCATCATAGAGAGATTTGAAAAAAGATAAACAGTCGGGATTACCCACTACCCCATTAAAGGAGGCAAACGTAAACTAATTAGAAATGTTCTCTCTAGCCTCCTTTCCTATTTTCTCTCTCTTTGAGCTTCACTTTTGTGACAGATTCTGGGAGTCTCTAAAAACCCCATTGAATAACCCTGAAATCTAGGTTCTGCTTAAAATTACTTCCCGAGCATCCATTGCCTGCAATTCTTCACAAAAATTATAGAATATACTTAGTAGGACTGATATCAAGCAAAACTTAATCTCCAATCTCACCTTAACAATGAAATCCTAAATTGACAACCCAGTAGCAGTTCTGGGGCAAGAGAAAGTGAACAGAACCTTGCAAATACTCTAGTTGTCCCCATAACAGGTGGTGATCTCTAAGACTTTTAAGCCTTGAGCACCAACTTTAATACAGACTCTAAGCTCCCAATCAGGTTTCAAATCAAATCTCTGGATTTCTCCTCAATTTTTGGACAGGTTCCCTAGAATCTTCTTCCAGGCATCTACCCACTAATCTCTCCAAAAGTCTTCCCAAAAGCCAGGAGATCAATGTTAGGCAGATGAGCAACTCAAAACCCCATACACACTGTTGATCCTAGTGATGTATGGGTGTAGACATAGAAAAGGAAGAAAGAAACCTGCTAAAACTGTTGATCCGGTATTTCTTTTACCATTATTTAGTGGCTGACTGATCATCATCATCATCATCTAAGCCTTGTCTCAATCTAATGCTAAAACTTCAACCCTGCAACTTGAACCAGATCGAAGGGATTCGAAGATGAAATCCGTTTAGGATTTTCCTAGCTTGATCCTTATTAAGGAAACAGCCAAGGCACTTTTCCAAGCACCAAGATGTGGTGCCCTGATGTTCCTTCCCAAGTGGCATTTATAGTCTAGTCAGCAATGTTGGGCGAGTGTTAGCAGATCGGCAAATGCTATGGCTGATTCTTTGGCTAAACAAGGGGTCTCAAGGGTTGAATTATTTTGGGCTACATTATGATTATATCCTGTTAATAGTATGGTTATCATCTCATCTCTAAGGGGAGGTAACATCTTGTGCCTTCTCTTATTAATAAGATCATTATTTATTTATCAAAAAAAAAATGTTGGGCAAGTGTCTTCTATAGATTGTGAGTCCTGTTTTTGCATAACAGAAACTCCATCTATTTTTCCATCCACAGCCAAATCATTGCACTATCTCATCTCACCTTTTGGAAATCATTAAGGCTATGTTTGGTTTGAAGGAAAAAGTAGGGAAAGGAAGGGAAAGGTAGGGAAACCTTTACAAATCTTGTATAGGTTTCCCTACCTTTTCCTTCCTTTCCCTACATTTTCGTTCAAACCAAACATAGCCTAAGTCTAAGCTTCATTGGGTAAAGTCCACTGATCTATACAACCTTTGATGATATGAATGATATAGGGTGAAGGAGCTTTTACATTTCCAACCACAAAACTAGTTCTTAGAGCAAATCCGGTGGAGAGCTGTAGGGGTACCTACATGATGCTTTTCAGTTTGACCTCCTTTTGGTTCTCATTATAACATATATCTACAGCTTAGACAATCTACCTTGTACGGAACCTCATTGCACATGGATTCTGATGTGCAAACAAGAAGACAGCTTTATAAATTACCTTCACAAGCAATTCGATAGATCCGTTTCAAACACAGCTTTATAAATTACCTGGGAAGATCTCCAAGTTGAGACCCCCCCCCTCTGAAATGGGCTAGGAGTGTCCAACACAACTTCCTCTATCTCTGATTGAAAAATCCTAGAGTTGGCAAGGCTATGCCAGGCCAAGGTCTACCAAAAGCTGGTCTGATCTTATATGTGCAGGGTGTAAGCTGGACCTAGGTCGAACTTTAGCAAAAGTCATGTTGCCCAAAATTGGGGGGTGGTCATGGAGTACGTCTGATAGTCTACACAATGGCAATAATTGAATTATAATTAACTTTGTGATTAATAATTTTTGTAAACAATATCATTTTACAATTTTCAAAAACAACCTTTTACATAGAAAGATAATGTACTTAATATTTCTATACATATCCCTAAGGCAGCCCAGGGTCAGTTATAAACCATCCTAAACTCAACTCTGGATCTGGCCCTGATTGGTCATTTCCATATATCTTTAGGCTTTCTAAGCCCTACTTCAAGAGTGGAGCAGGCTGGATGACAGATGCACCCCAAGTTGGGGTCCTAAAAAAATTCCAGCAAAGAATTTGTAATTCCACCTATTGGTAATGAGCTTTCAAGAGATGAACCCACACCTTGTACGGGATGACCATCCACTGTTCTCAAAAAATTGAGCTTCTTCAGCTCTTGGTATGCCATTGTCCTCTTCATCATCCACATCCTCATCATCCACATTCAGAAACTCTGCAACACCAGAAAGAGGGAAGAAAATCATTATACTAACTAGTAAGAAAATAAATGTTGGGAAATTAAGAAAACATTAACACAGTTCTAACTTTTGGTGAAGAACTATTATCCATTCCCTAACAAGCAATGGCCCCAAATTCTCAAAAGAAATTGCTACTAGACATTGAAAACTTCATTGTTGCTTTTCTTTGTTCCCATATAGTAATGTTATGGAAGCACTAGCACGCACTAGATAAAGGCATACAGGAAAAAATAAAATAAGTCAGGTTAAAGAGACGCCACTTGTGTTACATGGACACAGGTATGTGTCAAAATCTGACTTGGATGAAGGTTCCTACTTGGTGAATAAAATTGGATATGGAGAATGTAATGTTTATTAAAAAAAGAAAAAAAAAAGCATGTATCATGCATATACAGGAATACAATCAACACTATAAAATTAAATATACCAAATTATCAAGTACTACAAATTCCCAATTAATGCCAAAACGCTTAATTAAGAGTTGAAGGTTATTCCTAAATGAATTTGCACTTAGTGAAGAGAGAAGACTTCCCAATTGTCAATGACAGTGTCAGTTGCACCACAATTTCAACATGGATACAGGCCCTATTTTCAATTGTGCACATAATAAAGGCCCACTCATATTAAGTGTATACCAAATTTTAGGAAATAAGCTAACTCATTTGAACAACAAATTAACATACAGATCAACAGTTTTTTATCTTCTTCAACCACCAATTCCCCCATTTCCAATATAGGCCCAGATACATGTGACCCAACCCAGATTTCATGATAAGTAGAAGAGGAGTTTTTATCAATCTCTAGTTACAGTGCAATTACTAACAATGCATTAATTAAAATGTATAACCATCAGATATAACACAAGGACATGCAATATCACTTATCAATGAAAACCTGCACACCAAATTTTTATGGATAAGGTTATACATCAAATATATGCATTGTTAACCCAATAAGAGGTCCTTCGGTCCTTCAAACAAGCAACACAGTGCAAAGTACTTGGACCTTCAGAGTGAAAGAATGAGGACCAAAAACTTCTCTACAATTTCTAACATACAGAGCTGAAACATATAAAGCATTGACATCTATCTCTTAGGCCAGTATTAACAGTTATAAAGAAGCAATGACGAAAGGAGGGAAAAAAACCAGAAGACAAATTTCTAACATGCATATTTCTTCCAACCAAAATCGACAAACTTACATGCATTTTAAGGTTGAAAAGAATATAACATTTTCAATCTATAATGTAAGGTTGAAAAGGAAAGGAAAACATGCAAAATAAACACAGAAGATAATTGACTTCTGGCCATAAAATGAAAAGGAAAAGACCCAAACCTGTATCATTCCCACTTATTATATTTCCAAAATCCTGCAAACAAGCATAAGGAATAAAAAAAAATGTCATTTAGTGGCTGTACTGACATGAAAATATAAAGGTAAAGAAAATTGAGCATAACAAGTAATGCATGTAATAATTCTTTCATGTCAGAGATTATACTGGAAAAACATTACCAGAAAAACTCATTTAGCATGTATTTCGATTTTACTTGGACTGGATATCATTTTTGGTTCAATTGTATGCATGTATTACTATAATCCGCCACAAACAATATATTACAGAACAATTGTATACATGTATTAGCATTTAGGTCTTTGCAAGCTGTAACAACTTAAAAAATCCCCACCAGCAGTGTATTTTTATGTCAATGCATGTTACTATAAAAGTATATACTGTGCATTTCAGAAGTTTCTACAGAATAATAGTTTTCATTGGTTAAAAGAACAGCTGGAATGCCAAACCAGAGGAGATAAAATATGTTCCCATAGGAAAACCAAGAAGATAGTCTAAACTCTAAACTATAATAACATAAAAGCTCTCAATACGCTTTATGAACCCACTGTAAAAAGAATAAAAAAGCATAGTTCCTATTATTAAAAATAGTATAATGCCCCTTAGAAATGCATCTACACGGCATATCTAAAATAGTGCAGGACCCAACTGCAATGATACCATGTTTAGACACACCTGAAATGATACCATGTTCCAGTCCAAATGTACAGTGTAGAAGGAATTTGTAAAGGATTGAGGAAAAACAAGATTGTATTCTTGGCATTTCTATTAAGACAAAATATAGGATGCTCTCCCAAAAATGCACCTCTTTTTTTACCTTACAAGGGGACCAAAATCCAACAATATAACCTTCTACAGACCCTAATATAGTTGTCTATCAACCAGGACAAATATGGCTTAGTAATAAAATGCTCTCTATACCCCCTAAATACCACAGATCTCCTAACTATGATGCCCAGATACATATACCAATACAGGTATCCATGTCACATACTTACATCATGCTTTTATATATAGTTTTTCAACCACAGACCCTTTCCTCATGCTTCAGAGTTTACACAACATTTGCTAATGTTGCAAATTCATTCATCCTAATAAAAGATACTTTTAAAAGACACTTACAGTTATAAAACCTTTCTTTTTTACAGGGATTAAGAATTTAAGACCCTAATATGGACTTGTTTGGGCTTGCTTCGAGGGGCTTGGTTGGGGATCCAGGGACAGAGCCCCGGGCCCAGCTGCTAAACACAAAAAAAAAAAAAAAAAAACAGAAAATTGCACAGATTTTCAAAAGGTGCACACCTAGGCGCACCAGGTGCGCTCCTTTTGAAAATACTCCGCCTGGAACCTAGGCGAAGTGCATACCCTAAAATGTGCCTCGTCTGTGTGCCTATGTGCACCTTTTAAATCATTGGACCAGAAGATGAGCTGTGCCTCATATTTTTTTCTCCCCTTTTCTCTGCAAGTTACACACCCATACAATCTTTCCCCTATATTATTGCATTCAAAATAACAAGGGTGTCCCTTCGTATGTTTGTTTTCTTTTGTTTTCATTTAACAGACAACATGCATACACACTCTCTACATCTCCCACTTGCATTAACAGACTAGAGATCCATTCCCTAATTTTTCAAAGGCTGTATGATGTTTTATTTCTACTTTTAGTTGTTGATTATTTTATGTTAAATCACTTTTAATGTTTTCTAATTGCTATACCAACCAAAGAAAAAGTTAAGTCATAAGAGAATAGAGATGCAAGAAATATCCATATTAACAAAACGTAGTTTAACAAATCTCAAAAATACATGCGAGTTACCCCTTGTCACCATGCAAGCAATACCCATATGAACATAACGTAACCAACAAGATACTCCATTGTCACCTAGCCTAAAGTTAGCACCCTAACATAATATGAGTACTGCAACCAATACTCATTAAAGTAACTTAGTTTAATAAATCTCAAAAATAATTGGCTTCCCTTTCATTTAATCTAGATAAATAAAATGTGCTACCCACTAGAAAAAAGCTACTTTCAATGCAAAGAAGAATGAAAGAAAAGCACATCAATCCTTCATGGATACAAAATATAAATAAGGGTTCAACCATGAAAACAGAAGACATGATACCGGAAAAAGCTTGTAACCAATCAACCAGTATCATAAAAGGTGGATTCACCTGGGGGGCGGAGATTGATTAGCCAAAGCCCTTCCTGTATCATGTCTTACCGGGAGCAAAGATTTTCCCTATAAAGAACTATATTAATTACACCAATGATGACCATGATCAGAACATAGAAGAATCCAAATGCCCAACTTACATCAGAACCTCTGACATCAGCAGTTTCAAACGCAGATATTTCAGTTTCAGTGTCCATAGTGCTCTTTGAATTGGCTTCCCAATTGCATGGATTTTCCACTCCATCCAAGGAATCATCTTGAATTGCCATATTGAATTCCTTTTCAGATTCTTCACCAGAAACAGGGTTGAAGGAGGGGTTATCCTCATCGTTACCCATCTTTTCCACCATAACCTCAGACTCCATTCGCTCCACAGTTCCATCACCAGTAGTAATAACAGCACCAGTCTGTTCACCACCCTCTGCAGAAACAATTGGTAAGGAAGGATTTCCATTTTCAAAGGGAGTTGAGGAATCTGATAAATGAGATCTGGTTTCCGGTGAGCTGACTGCATACAAGGTATTTTCCCTTATATCAATGCCGCATTCTTGAGGAACATTTGGTCCCATCATATCAACCAACCTGCAATCTTCACATTCCTCCAGTGGAGACCTATCATTAGATTGTGATACACCTTCAGATAGAACTAAATTCACCTCATTTTCTTTTGAAACATCAAAGGCATCAACTTCCTTAACATCAATTCTATCCATGAGAGATGCTTCATGTTCAAAAGAATGACTACCCGACTCCTGGTTTGCAGATGAACACAACTTATCATTCATAGCTTCTGTCCCGCTGCTTCCATCTAGAGGAGATGATTCAATTATCAAACCAGAGGATACATGGCAATTATCTCCAGCAAGAGGATTGGCTGTTACAATATGATCCACAGCCTCAGAAGTTACACCATCTCTTGTGTCAGCTTCCATTGCAGTTATTTGTCCCAAAAGCCCATCTTTTGAAGATTCAAGTTGAGTGACCTCAGCTGGACCCATAGTTTGGTATTGACCTTCACATCCAACAGAACCAGCTGCATGCCCTTCAAACTGCTGGTTCTCAGACAACACAAACATCTCACCAGGTTGTGCTTCCCCATCATTCACAACTGTTACTGGTTCGGAACTATTTTTGGATTCTTTAGTAAGATTTGTGGTAGGAGAATGTTCTACATCCTTCACTGCTTCCAATTCGGTTAGATCATATGTTTGGTTGTGCAAATCAATTAATTCCAGGGACATACCTGACAAAATAAATCCAAAGTAACTGATTATCATTCATTTCAGATGTTAAGACACCACTACATATGTAATATGTGAAAGCACTTCCAATTTTAATTAAAAATTATAAACGCAGAATGAAAACAAAGAAATAAATGACCCAAACCTCAAACAAGTTTGAAACTATGATACCAGGATACAAGGACACATGCACAAAGCTAGATATACAAAATTTATGATGAAGTTTGAAGTATCTGAAACAATACACCCCCTTTGTACAGGTATCCAGTATTGTAGTCGTAAAAATGAATATTATTTGCAAATACTGAAAGTGTTTTTCATTTCAACAGGAAAAAAATTAAAAGGTTCAATTTGAGTGTAACTTCAGTGTACCAAACTTCACAGAGAAAAATGTTTGTACACACAAGCAATTTAACACACAATATGAATATCAACATCCACAGGGTACACCAGGAGGATGGGACAATATCTAAGCTATGCAACTTTTTGGACATAAAAGGGGAAAATTATCAGCCCAAAGACAGATACCACTCTATTGTTCTATTCATCCAGTGAACTCAACTTTTCTGAACTAGGTCATCTCCCATCCCAAGGGTATACCCATTACCAGTCCTCATATGTACCGATACGAACATCCCGCCCATTATGAATACCTAATTAAACATAAATAGAGATCCAGCTTTTGGTCCTGAAAATCTCCAAAAGATAATACCATAGCCAAAGGCACAATTAATATTAATAGCACAACACCTGGGAAGTAATCTAGGACAAAACTCACCAGTAAATATGGGTTCACCGAAAATCTCAGCTTCTAACAAATTCTTCTGTATCATCCAGATTTCAGAAGGAGTACATGGAGCTTTCCTTCTTACACGGCGTATGTCTTCAGTATTTGTCAACTGTTGTCGTATTGTACTTAAAGGAAAAACAGAAAAGCAAATATGTCAAAATGCAAATATTGATTACAAAATGCAGCAAGAAAACAAACATGCATGTAAAACATAAATATAGTCCACATGCCATGGTAAATAATAAGGTGGTATAGGCACCTATCTTTCGTAGAAACCTTCATGGCTGGGAGCTTGAGGAGGTGACAACACTCTCCCAGAGTTTGAAAGCCTCAAGAAAGAAGATTTTTTTTTTTTATCAGCAAGCCTCAAAAAAGAAGATTTTGGTTTGAATTGTTTGTGTACTTTGTCAGACTAATTGTTGTATGAGATCTTAGTGTGGTTTCTTTTCTTGGAGTTTCTTTAGTAATGTTGGGTGGTGACATCTTGTCACCTAAACCATTTTGTACCTTTTATTTTTAATAAAATTTTCTTTTTCATTTATCATCAAAAAACAATATAATGTTTAGCAATCCACAGGGATATGGATACATACTCGCCATGCAATACCATGGTATCATCCAGAAGAATTTTTCTCTTTGGAACACTGTTCCTGGATGCAACCCGAGGGCGCTTTGAAGATGCTGCTTCATGTAGAGGTGGAGTAGGCCTCAACTTCAAAACAGAAGTTCTTCGTCCAACTGAAGCAACAGTAAGTCAGTTAAAATCAAAATCATGTACCAGTAGAATAGTAATCATTAGCAATGAGGATGCAAGATACTATAACTGGGATTTAAAGGTAAACAAGATCTATAGTATCCCTTAACCACTTCAGGAATATGAAACGCAAGAACCAGTCTGATACCTAAGATCGATGACAATAGATCATCATCGTCAGGAATAGACCCCATAGTTCTTTTAGATCGGGGTACCCCAGAAAGCTTAGCTGAGTTGCCACTCTGCAGAATTGGTGTACTTTCCATAGAATGACGTTTCTTTCCAGAGAGGATTTCAAAATCATCCCCATTTCCTATATTCTCTGTCAGGTCTGCTTTGTCTGGAGTGGATTCCACTACTAAGTTGTTTGGAAGGTCAGTAACTCCTGATGGGGCTGAAAGCATTATTTCAGGTGCAGGCATGCCATTATCCAAATGTTCATCTGATTCATTACGATCAACCTGAAGGTCTTCTTCTGGAGGGGGCCCCAAGGTCTCAGTGGTCTCTAATGTTGTGTCCATAAGATTAGTTGGTTGGCACGCTTCACCTGCAAAATGAGAACATGTTAAAAGGAAAAATAATATTATACATACACATATTGCTATATTACTCAGATCCTGTCAAAATACCTTGAACATCTGTTCCAGAAGCCTGAAGCACTTCCTCCCTTTCTGATATCTCACATGAACAAAGCCCAACTCCTCTGGGTGATAACTCAGGTGTATTTTCTACTAAATTACCATCCATGACAGATAATGAATCAGACTGGTTCTGGTTGGAACTGCAAGCCCGAAGCACATGACAGTTAGGACACACTTTTTCAACAGAATTAACTGTGTCCAAATTCTTAAAATCTTGTGATTCTACACAAGTTTTAGCTTCAACTTTATCGAGCTCATGTCCACCATTTGACTCCAACAGAGAATCAATTCTAGATGATGATGCATGGTCCGGGGAATATGCTTCAGTTAAACTTCCTACAGCTACAGGATTCACCTTCTTAAGAGCTTGTGGCTCAGTCTCCTTTGAAGAACAATCAGTGTTTACACCTAATTCTGACTGATGATCACAAGCAGGAGACACAGTTTCCTCCAATGGTAGCCCTTGAGGAGCTTTAGCCTCACTATGAGATAGATCAATAGAGGAATTGTTCTCTATCTTGTTACTTGTGGCTCCAATCTGTAATTCATCTGCCCTTTCATGACCATGAGGTGCATTTACAACTCTATCTGAGCACTCTGATAAGGGAGAAACAGGTTTTGGTTGCTCCACTAAAACTGAAGTGGGTGAGGAAACAGAACGTGAAACATCTGAAGCCATGTGTTCCATGCCCTCTGCAGCAGATGGAGAATCCCTTTGTTGCTTTACTTGAATTGCCTCTTCCACTAATCCAGGAGTAAATGGGGCATGAGCACACTCAACCAAGTCTTTTGAAGGACTTGAGCATGAACCCTCAACTGGATTACAGTGGAAAACATCATTTTGATCTGGGGTCTGAATGGGATCACCATGAAGAATATTAGAATTATCATCTCTCATTGGATCTTGTAGATCAAAACAAATTTTCTTCCCATTGGCATCCTCCATGACTTCAATATCAGTTGTTCTATCCTCATTGTTTTGGTCATCATCAATATACATGGTAAAAGGTGTCATAGGTTGGCCACATGCCTGAAGATCCACACTGGAACCAGAAAATATTAAATTTTAACAAAATGGTCAAATTAATAACCATCAATGACAAACATGGGGCACTGAAAAGAGTCTTGGATGTTATGTAACATGAATATCAAGGCACTCAAGCTATCAATATTTGCTACCACACACCAAGTGTGAGAAGATCATAAACTATAAAAGATTACAGTTAGCTAGCAAAACCATGATACTTGTTCCCTTAATCTGTTGTAACAGGGAAATCTAATAGACAAAAAAAGTTCTAATTGCTATAAACAGTTGCTGCATTTATATTAAATCTATAAAAAATAATACCAATATGTATGTTATAATCCTGACTTGGAATTTGAGTACAAATATAAAATAGAACACGTGAAATGGCCCAAGAAAAACCTTTGTGCATTAGATGATTACAGTGCAGTTGATATAAAATTTTAGATATTTCAAGTGGTCAAGATCAGCTGAAGAAGGGTAGCAATCTGGGGTAAGATGTCTGCCAATCTTGGTGGCTATTTAACAAGGAGATGAGGTACACATGTTAGGGGATACAGCAAATCTTCATTGCCAGCTATCATCAAACATGGTGTTTGCACATCATTCAACCGTGGTCTTTCATATTTTGGCCAACTGTTTCTCAAAAATAGTAAAATATAGAAACTCTCTGAAGTTGAAACTTGTCAAATGCCAATATCATTTTTGGTACTTTTTTGTCAGTAATGGCATTCATTATGTCGTGAAAGAACAAAAGGCAACCATGTGTACAAAAGGAAAAAAAAAATCAACAAAGACAAGGAGAAAGCCAAATAGGAAACAACATTGCTCTCTATACAGAGATGTACAATTGAGCATCCTGACAATACCAAATACAACTGTTACAGACTGTATAATTAAAATAGGAAGATGTTACAGACTGTATAATTAAAATAGGAAGATGTTACAGACTGTATAATTAAAATAGGAAGTAAATACTAGGGAGATATGATGTTACAAACTGTATAACTAAACTAGGGAGATATGATTTACCTTGATTGTAGGACAGATTTGTAGGAATTTGATTAGTCTTCT